ATTTGGGAGCGTTAGGAATACATTTACCCTTGTTGGTACCTGGGATGCACACTACAACCCCCTGCAGCAGTGGGGCAGCTTAATCTCCTGGGGATGGTCAGAATTCACCCTCCTTTGTGGTTTCCACATCTGGAAAGCAGTTTAATTTATGGTTGAGGCACCAAAGGAACCCATACACCGGAGGCTGCTCAGCAGATGCCCTGAATCTGCTACCCTGGCCATACCTATTCCCTCAGCTGGATTCTGTGTAGAGACAGCAGCTTCCAGGCTCTCTGGCAGAGTTTGATGTGCTGGTGCCTTACTCTACCATGACCTTCATCCCAGCAGCTTTTCTGTCACTGTGGGTTCATGCTGTCAGATGAATGAATGCAGGGCTGAGTATATCATCCCATAGTTTCCTTGTGCTCCTGGTCACAGGATAGCTGGTCATTTTAGTAGGAGATGGGCCCAGCACCACCTGTGACACAGCCTGCTCTCCTACCTAGGTGGGGAGAATGAGGCGGGTCCGGTGACCACCAGCCCTGGGATAGATAAGGCAGATGATTGCAAAGAGACTTCAGGGAACTCTGAAACACTGGGAAGCTGCTGCTTTGAGAGCAGAAAGATCTACCCTCAAGGAGGAGGAGCTGTGCCCAGCTGCCAACTAGGTGAGGTTTTAAATTTTGAGTTATTTTGTGTTTGAAGGATGTTGCTGCCTATCCAGAAAGAAATGAATTAGGGGAATATAAAGGAACCAGCTGGAAGAAGCCAGCCTGAATCTAATCACAGCCCCTGGGGAGAGGGCTGTGGGATCCCCTGACCAGGGGAAAGGGTTTGGGCCTGAAGGGCCAACAGAAATGGTATAAAAACTTCATAAATCAGACGCTCCGGGCGGGGAATTGTATTTTATACCTCTGGACTGTGTGGGGTTTTTGAGGAGCCATGAAAGAAGGGGAAACCAAGGGAGGGTGCCTCAGAGCCACAAGGAGAAACTCGGGAGGCAGACAACCCCATTATACTCTCCCTTTTGTCTGCCTGTATCTACCTGTTGTCTCGTTTTATATGTAAGCTCTTTGGGGCCGGGACTGTCTCTTTGTTCTGTGTTTGTACAGCACCTAGCACAATGGAGTCCTAGGCCATCACTCTGGCTCCTAGAAACTGCCATTATACAAATGATACCTAATAAAAAATAACTTATACCCATTAGCCTGAGAGAGGGGAAAGCGAACTGAAAGAGTGGTTAGAATACCCACAATTATTTTAAATTAGCAGATGTCCTAACCAACGTAGGGGACTTTCTCATGACATCTACACAGCATGTTGTGTGCTATTTCTTTTCTACAATGTATTGCATGGACTTCCAATCTAAATGTACTATGTGCATTTTATCTCAAAGTACTGGTTACTGCCCATACACTTAAACATAAACTGTGTAATGAAAAAATGTCTTCTGAAGTCCTGTGCCCCTATAGACAAATATCTATAAAATAATCTATTGTTTCAGCAGTGATGTGTGCACACACACACACACACACACACCCCTGCCAGATCAAATCCTTTCTGTATTTGTGGATCTGTACTTAAAAACTATTCTGCAGTTCAAAAATAAATTTCAGGGTCATTACTCCATCTTTGCATAAATGCGAAGCTGAATTACTCCATTCAAAGAACAGGAGTACTTGTGGCACCTTAGAGACTAACAAATTTATTAGAGCATAAGCTTTTGTGGGCTACAGCCCACTTCTTCGGATGCATATAGAATGGAACATATATTGAGGAGATATATATACATACATACAGAGAGCATGAACAGGTGGGACTTGTCTTACCAACTCTGAAAGGCCAATTAAGTAAGAGAAAAAAAAACTTTTGAAGTGATAATCAAGATAGCCCAGTACAGACAGTTTGATAAGAAGTGTGAGAATACTTACAAGGGGAGATAGACTCCATTCAGTTTATTTAGACCCATGCAACAATGCCACCTCCTGGATGGTAGCTTGTGGTGCATACACAATAATACATTTCAAAAATCAAGTGGAATCATTAGAAAAAAGTCTTGTGCAAAGAAAAAAGGAAAACAAAAAGGGGTTCAAAATAACTGTCTGACTTAATGCTGGTGTTGTTATTAGGGGGAAATCTACCTGAATTTCCCATTGTATTTCTTCTCCCTGCATCCACTCAAATGGTTGGACTTATGGGACTTTCCTTGAGAGCAATGATGCTTGGACAGAAGTCTATTACTGAAACTGTGAGTACTGGCAAACAGGCGGGGAGAAAATGAAAGCATTCATCCATAGCTGTTTAAAATTTCAGATTTTTTTGTCTGACAAGTTAGCTTGGTTGTCCCAATTTTGAGGCTGTGGCCTCATTCTCTCAAGTAACTTAAAATGAAATTATTATTGGTGGTGGGATATTTGCCTGCTTCGTTTTGGACTGTTGTGCTGGTATTTCTCATCTTTATTCTTGTTTTTAATGAGTCTGACTCTCACTTCATTTTATATGGTTAGTATTGTCCTTGCTTCAGGGCCAGATTAACTCTTCTGTGGGCCCGGAGGTATTAGATTTTGTGGGGGCCCTGTATAACCCAAGTCTTTTTCTTAATTTAAAACAAAATTATCACAATTATGGCATCAAGGATATTAACGCTATACTAAACTTGCCTTTTAATTAACATAAAGCCGTTCTGTGGTTACATTTCAGTCTTCAAACATGTAGAATATAGTTAAGTTAATTCAAAACAGCCTACTTCTTACCTTAGAACAGCAGTTATATTTGTTTCTTTCTGGGAGGGAGTTTGGGTGCAGGAGGGGGCTCCAGACTGGAGCAGAGTGTTGGGGTGCAGGAGAGGGTGAAGGGTGCGGGCTCTGGGAGGGAGTTTGGTGCAGGCAGGGACTGTGATCTGGGGCAGGGGATTGGGGTGCAGGAGGGGGTGCGAGATGCAGGCTTCGGCCGGGAGGCGCTTACCACAGGCGGCTCTCGGCCGGCAGCGCAGCAGGGCTCAGGCAGGCTGCCTGCCTGCCATAGCTCCATGTTGCTCCCAGAAGCGGCCGGCACGTCTCTAGCACCCTGTGGGGAGGGGGACAGTGTGTCTCCGTGCGCTGCCCACGGCTGCAAGCACTGTCCCTGCAGCTCCCATTGGCTGGTTCCTGCCTGCCGCCCCCATCCCCAGGGGCCGCAGAGATGTGCCAGTAGCCGGCCGCTTCTCGGAGCAGCATGGGGCCACGGTATGCAGGCAGCCTGCCTGAGCCTGCTGCGCCGCTGGACTTTTAGCGGCCCGGAGATCACGATCGACTGGCAGAGGCTCCAGGATCGCGATCGACGGGTTGGTGACCACTGAATTGTATATAATTATGGATTTATTTTTGTGAGGCTGCAGCCCCTAAAACCCCTGCGTTAATCCAGCCATGCCTTGCTTTGATCTGAGTTAAAATGCCACTGCCACTAGTGGTCTGAGACTATGTAGTCACTTATTTCACACCGAAATAAACATTTTCATCTCTAAATGTTGTTATGGATAGTCTCTATAAGGGCTGAAATCTAGATTTCAGCATTACTCTAGTCCTCCTCCACCAAAGCTGCCTGCTGTTGTTCTGAGTGCTCAGTCAGTGTGACTGTGTCCACCAATGTGTGTGTTCCTAGTTCTCCCTCCTCAACAGCCTGATGGGCTGAAAAGCGTCTACCACTAGGCCACTAACTTATATCTGCTTCAAGCCCAGGAGCGTTCCTTACTGAATAGATATGCTTTGGCTCATTTTGATTACGTTTGCTGTGAAAAACCCACATTCTACTTCTGTAGAGCAAGCAGATAATGTCAGAAGAGCAAAGCAAAGTATCCAAAAAGATAGGTAAGCAAGTGGCTAAAAGCTGTGTTAAAGTGTATATGCAACACTAGCTGTGGATTTTTTGGTATCTAAATGTAATTGTAGGGGTTAATCATGCCTTTCCCTATTAATTCAATACCTATGTAAAGTGACATAGCAGGTTGCCATAATGGGCCAATTGTTTTCTTTAATCACTAGGCCACTAAAGGAAGGAAAAGCACTAAAACAATGTGAATGGTGTTTTGCTGTAGCCTGGTGAATCTGGCATCCATCCATCTGCTCAATGGAAGCTTCAGCATGTAGATCTGATTTTTCTCATCTTCTGTCCCTAATGATCTAGAAATGTTCATCCCTTCAGATTTGCCATCCCTAAGGATACGTTTTCTGATATATGGGCCACGATGGTCTTTCATTACTGCAAGTCTCTTTCTAGCTGTTATAAATAATGATTAAGTCCTTCACGAAATACAAGGAGCCCACAAATTTTCTGGTCGCCATCTGCACTTAACTCAGATTACATCAGCCCTGGCTCAGTTTCTGCAATATGTTCTTTTTGTGTGACGTTGTGTGATAGGGTGTACTGACTCTCCGGACTATATGGAAGGAAATCTATTTGGCCAACAGTCCCCTGTGTCAAGCTGATGTTTGGAAGAAAACATTACCACCTTACCTGCTAATCAAGGGGAGTTTATCCAGGAATCACAGAGGCTAAACAAGATGGTGAATTTGATTGGGGGGCTTGGTTAACCTTATATATTGGCTAACTATAGGCTTGCTCACCTTGCTTAGGTGTGCCCTGGGGGCTCAGAAACTAGCAAGACAGTTAACAAGTAAGGATTCCTCCCCAGAGAGCTGGGGAAGATAATTTGCCATTACATGTGGCTATTTGTTTTGTTCATTAGGATTGCTGCTGTGTAAGTACAGAGTATATGATTATTATTAGAACACCTGGATGTTCACAGAATATGAACGGTGCTATGTACAAAACAGAAGCTAGAGAATGAAAAATCAATGAGTATTAAAATAGAGAATACTAATACAGAAGGGTCTTCAGTTTATATTTTGTAAATAACAAAATATCTTTACAGTAAGTACTTGCCTCAACAGAAACATGGAACAGACTTAGCACTTTTGCACCATTTCTTTATAAGTAGCAATATAAGTACAGTGATTTTCTTTATTCAAATGTTATTCACTTACCCATTATCCAAACCATTCTGCCCAAGTTTCTTTCCTATGTCACCTACCATCACCCCTGGCATAGGAAGCAGTGTTTTTGTATCTCGAATCTATGTGGAAATTAAATGAAACAATATTTTAGTCATGAGAAAACTAAAGCTCTTGGTGGACTCCTTTCAAACAGTGAAAAGTACTCCCAAACTATTTTGTTATTAGCATTTTAAAAAAAACAAACTCACTATTTTTCCAAATACAGGTAAATAGAATCCAATCTTGGATATAGTTTCTGCTTAACGCACTCTTCCGTCCAGGATACTATAAATTCAATAATGAAAGCGACTTGGAAATCTTTCACTTTCTTTGATAACATGCTACTAATTACACTATCATGCTCCAAATGTGCATCTATATTGAAGAATCTTCTAATCACAATTCGCATGAAAACCTTCTTTTGGTCTATGTGGACAGAAACAGGAATCAACAAAACTGATTAACTTTATGTACTAATTGTATCCTGCCTTTCTCAGGGATATATGACATGTTCCATCTGGTCAGCAACCCAGTTCATTTAAATACGTGTAGCTTTGCCACTGCTTCTGCAAGTTTTCTACTGAATATGGCTCCAATCCTGCAAGCTGATCTCTATGGTTGAAACCCTGCTTCCATGCAGATTGGCTTGTGGGTTTAGGACAAATACTGGTACCCAAAAGAGAGGGCTTGAAAAGTTGGCTCACCCATTTCAAGGAGGAAGCTTTCCCAGGAGACCGTGATCAATTTTTGCAGAGTCCATGCTTTCATTTAAAAATAAAATTTGGTAGCCCTTAAGACTACACAGGTAACTCTCCAAATGTGCCCAGTGTGTGAGCTAATGCAGGGCCCATAGGTTTAGGCCATTCATTTGTAATCATTTTGTTTTTCCAAACAACCTTCTTTATACATTAAAAAACCCAGTAAACATATAAAAATCCTAATTTTTCATGTTTAATGCCCAGAAGTTCCTTTACATTGACTTTTTTATGACTAACCCCCAGAAGGTTCACCTCCACCCCCAAGTATCATCTTTTCCTGGTTTAGGCTTGCCCTTTTCTCTTCCCTCTGTTGTGGTCACACAAGGACCAAAAGGCACTACCAGGTACAGCAGGCTTGCGCTACAAGATGACATCCATGGCCAGCCAGTAGGGAACATCCCACGATGGATGTTAGAATCATAGAACTGGAAGGGACCTAGAGAGGTCATCCAGTTCAGTCCCCTGCACTCAAGGCAGGACTAAGTATTATCTAGACCATCCTTGATAGGTGTTTGTCCAACCTGCTCTTAAAAATCCCCAATAATGGAGATTCCAAATCTCCCTAGGTAATTTATTCCGGTGCTTAACCACTCTGACAGTTAGGAAGTTTTTCCTAATGTCCAACCTAAGCCGCCCTTGCTGCAATTTAAGCCCATTGCTTCTTGTCCTATCCTCAGAGGTTAAGAAGAACAATTTTTCTCCTTCCTCTTTGTAACAACCTTTTATGTACTTGAAAAGTGTTTTCATGTCCCCTCTCGGTCTTCTCTTCACCAGACTAAACAAACCCAATTTTTTCAATCTTCCCTCATAGGTCATGTTTTCTAGACCTTTAATCATTTTTGTTGCTCTTCTCTGGACTTTCTCCAATTTGTCCACATCTTTCCTGAAATGTGGTGCCCAGAACTGGACACAATACTCCAGTTGAGGCCTAATCAGCGCGGAGTACAGCGGAAGAATTACTTCTCGTGTCTTGCTTATAATGCTCCTGCTAATACATCCCAGAATGATGTTTGCTTTTTTTGCAACAGCGTTGCACTGTTGACTTATATTTAGTTTGTGATCCACTATGACCCCCACATCCCTTTCTGCAGTACTCCTTTCTAGGCAGTCATTTCCCATTTTGTAAGCGTGCAACTGATTGTTCCTTCCTAAGTGGAGTACTTTGCTTTTGTCCTTATTGAATTTCATCCTATTTACTTCAGACCATTTCTCCAGTTTGTCCAGATCATTTTGAATTTTAATCCTATCCTCCAAAGCACTTGCAACCCCTCCCAGCTTAGTATCATTCACAAACTTTATAAGTTCATAAGACCCAGAACCGATCCCTGCGGGACCCCACTCATTATTCCCTTCCAGCATGACTGTGAACCAATGATTACTACTCTCTGGGAACGATTTTCCAACCAGTTTTGCACCCACCTTATTGTAGCTCCATCTATTATTGCAAGACAATGTTTTCCAAAATATCATGTTTCACAAATAGGTGAAAGGACACATGACCTTTCTGTTTTCGCTCAGGCCATGTTTACTGTCATCTAGGGCTTACATTCCAAATGCAAGGGTAACCCACTGGTCAGTGTGTGCTAGGCAACCCTTTCTGTGCCCAAATCACAGATAATGTGAGTCTGATACAGCCCCCAGTTACGGAGCCTGATTCTTTAGCGCAAGCTGTAGAAAACTCGCTCTCTGAGCTTTGTAGGTCCCTGATTCAATCCCATTGTCGTCCAAGATGACATAAGCAGCTGGGATTTGAGCAGTTTGTGGCATCCTGCATACACATTTCAGTTGGCATTATATGCTCAGGTTCTACCTTGCCATAACCTAGCAGTGGCCTGGCACAGTCTAGTAGTATGTCACAGTTGGAAAGCCAGTGTTTGCCTTTCGTTTCACTTGCAATACATGTTGCCACTTGAAATGTCACAACTCTATCCATAAATTCCATTTTTTGCTTCATACATGTAATGTTCAAAAAACAATTAAAAAAAACTATACCCACTTCATTCATCCCAGAAATCTGACATTTCAAAAAATGATGCTAGAATTAATTACCATGTTTTTGGCCCCTTTGGGAGATCCACAGAAGTCAATGCAGATGAAGTGTGCAAGCAATGAGGATCCTCATTAGAAAATGGGACTTGATCTAATGTTCACTGAAAACAATGGGAGTGTTTCCACTGTTTGGCTTTGGACATGCATTACATCCAACATATACTCTCAATTATTCTCATTGTATTTATTATTATATATTCGTCCAGTTTGTGTTAGGCACTTTCCAAACACTTAGGGACATTTTCTGCTCTGAGGAGCTCCTGATCTAAAGTATTTCACACTTTGTAGTCTATTTCAAACTGCACATGTGATGCAATAATATGGAGGTTCATCTGTATTAGCTAATTATAGCAATTTGCTACTATTAATTCGACTGTATTCTTGCCTCAAAAGCACAGTGATCAAATAAATACTGAAGTTTGGTAGAAAATGTTAAAGACATTTTTACAGAAATTGTTTAGCAGACATAATATGTCATAACAGTGACATAAAAAAAACCAAAGTAGTACTCTTTTCCCACCTGCACAACAAAGGAATGTAATCCGTGGCACTGCCCATCAGGAGTGTACAGCTGGGCATAGACGACAGCATGAGTGGCATTTTTCCCCATGTTGCCAACCCAAAACTTGGCAGCTTCAAAATCAGGAGTGTTGATGATAAATTTCTACAGTCAAAAAGGGGGAAGTCTTAAATCATATGACTCAATGTACATTCATCACTTCTTTTTGTTTGCTGCCACTGTAACATTTTGAAAATTGCCAGCATTTCATACTGTACTTCAATCCAACATGCTCACAACAATGAAAGCGGATTTGACAGGAATCTATAGGGCTAAGCTTTATTCTAGAACATGTGTCTAGGGAAAAGTCAGGGCAGAACAACAGCATGATTGTCAACCTGAGGCCTAAAATTCAGCCTCTCAGCTTTCTTATAACATGATTGAGGGGAGGGAGTACCATGGAGACACACAATGGTCTCCGGGTTTTTATTGTGAATGCAAAATGCTCCTGATTTTATCTGAGACTGAATAACTTGCTGGACAGCTTCTGAGCAGCCTCCCTGGAGCCTGCCACGGAGCCAGCTGCTTCAGGCGCTGGACGCAGAAATTAAAAAACAAAACAAAACTGGTTTTGGTTCTTCCAACAGAGAACTTTTTTGAAAACATCCCTCTCAGGGAAAATTTCACATATCCGACTTTTTGTTCCAATTCAGAATGAATTTTTTTTTAAAAGCAAATTTTGTTTGGTGGGATGGAAATTCCAGTTCCCACACCGCTTTATTACTACTAACAAGTGCTAGATACAAGAGAAGTATTAATTACTGTTAATCATAGAATCATTTTGGCCCGATATCTTTATAACAGAATGTAAACAAAAAAGTACCAAATGCCACTTCTGTAGGTTCCAGACTGACCTGTGTGCGGGGGTCGTATCTGGCAGTTGTCCGTATGCCCTTGGTATTGCTGCCATGGCTGACTTCAGTCAGAGCAAAACATCCAAAAATCTAAACCGTGAATCAGCAGGTGCAAATCAACTCAGTGTTAACATGGTAACTCAAACATTTTCAAGTCAAGACTGTTACTCAATACTGTATTGCTGCAAAAATGAGAGTTAATAAAAATCCAGCTGCTTAGTAGGAGGTTGCATGAGGTCCATTTCATCCCTTGTGTGAGCCGGCAGAACTCCTGCAATAGGGTGGCAGTGTTTTTCCACTGAGCCATCTTCCTGGCAGGTGTCATAACCCTGCAGGGAGCTGCTGACTCATAACGGCAGGTGCAAATTATTAATTACACCCATCATATAGGAAAAGCGGGACTGGTTCTTTGAGTAGAAGGAACTGTTGCCTACAAGAGAGAGGAATGGTGGGTTGGTCTCTCTGTAGGGAAGCCATAGGAACAGAGAGTGCTTAATTTATGCCAGGACTGAGCACTGGCACCTTTAGGCTTGGCAGTTCATAGCCCTGGCACTTCTGAACTTTCTGCTTGAACCGCAGCACCTTATTGCTTGAGCCCCGGTATCTCTTTCATTACAAATTAAGCACTGGGAACAGCCTACTTTGGAAAAAGATTAGGCTGTCTATGTTTTATTGAAAAATTGCCAATAATGCAAACACTTGGATGGGGTAAACTCAGATTAAATCCAGAGTGCGTAAATTCTTTTCTTAGCAGGGTGCGAAGTCCACCTGCTCGCAGTTCTACTGCAGTCAATGAATTGCATTCCCTTACACTAGGGCTAAATTTGGCCTGTTATCTTTACTCTTGTACATCCTAAAAAGGCAGGCTAGTACGATTGGACTGGGGTGCGACTGGGAAGCAAGCCCACACTGCACTCACTCCACAGCAGTGGCTCCGCTACTGTCCCATGAAGCTGGGCCCAGCTTCCCGCTCCAAGCATTCTGACCTGGTGTGTGGAGTCACAGAACCACTCAGGTTTGACCCAGCTGCCCCTCTATCATGATGGAGGGGCCACTGGGCCAAATTTCAGTGAGTGACACCGCAACCCTGTGTGCCAGGTCACAACGCCACTCAGTTTGGGAGTCCTCTCAAAAAGGTGAAAAGATTAAACTGAAACCTAAGGTAAAACTATTGCAACAGATACAGAATGCTAAGCTCTTCTTGATGCTAAGGATCTTTAATTGTGTCACTAACTGGATTCATATTGATTTTACGGTGAGCTCATCTACATAATCAACTACTTGCTACATAACATGAGCTGATCAATAAATAAGCATTTTTTTAAAAGGAATGAAAGAAAAAGATCACACAATAGTTCAAGTTAGCGGCAGTATAATTTTGCGAGTATCGCTTTCATTATGTTAGTTATCCTAAGGGAAAAAATAAAATAAAATAAAATGCTGTTGACAAATGGGAGGGTGCTCTTTCACAATAATTAATACAGTATCTAGATCTGTCACTGGTGTGATGTTTCTGGACTATGGAATGGAATGGATAATTCACCCTAGGGCTCTGACTGGGTGGCAGAGCCTGCCCATGTAGAGAAAGGTGAATATTAGAGAAGGCCTCCTCTCTCTAACAGCTTACACTTAAGTCTCCTTAAGGGACAATGCCAGAGCAAGTAGCGTTAATGGCTCCAGCCCCTCCTTGAGGAGCACCCAAGCCAGTACACCACAGCATGAACAGGATGGGTCAGACAGATTAACAGAACCAGACACTAAGGCGGATCTGGGCTGTCTAGGACACAGAATGTGAGTTGGTTCACTTCAGTTCCTGAAACTTAAGAGGAAAGTTTAACTTATAGTGAAGTGTAAGAATAGATGAGAGTAAATATACATGTTGGCTGTCTTAAAATAACCTTTTTCTCTAATGCTTTGTTCTAATGCAGGGGTCTCAAACTCCTGGCCTGCGGGCCATCTGCGGCCCGAGAACCTCCCCGCTGTGGCCCGTGGAGGAGAGACACAGGCAGATAGTTGCCGGCAATGTCCGCTGTAGGCGCCGCCCCGCGTAGCTCCCATTGGCTGGGGGAGAGGGACAGAGATATCATCATTAGTTGCCAGGCAGAGTCAGCCATAGAGGCAGCATCACTTTTTTCCACAATGAATATAAACAAGTCAAAATACTGAACACAACTATCTGATGCACACCTTGCTGCAATCCTGAAAGTTTCAACTGCTCAGTCACGGAGGCCAAACATCAACAAACTGACAGAACTGAAGCGTTGCCAGGTGTCTGGCAAACACTAAAAACTCTCTGGCAGGCGAAGAATTGTATAAAGTTGTATGACAGCTTTATTATTTCTAAGAAATTCAAAATAAAAAACACAATATAAACGTTTTCTTTTCTGAACACCATCTTCAGTGACATTATTGGCCCGCTGGGAGGATTTGAGGACTGGCACTGGCCCTAAGGCAAACTGAGTTTGAGACCCCTGTTCTAATGGCTAAATAAAAATACTTTGCTTTAAGAAGGCTGTTGGTCAGTATCACGAGTCACAGGTTCTGGCAGGGTAGAAATGCAGGTGCCTGAGATCCAGTCAGACCTGCAGGGTAATAGGTGGTTTGTATACACAGAGTGGTGTATCCGGGCCCCAGTTTAATGGTATGTCTAGACTCCAATCACGGCGTATGATTGCAGCTCAAGCCAATATATCTGACCTACTTTTAACCTCACTAGCTCAAGGCTAGCACCAAGAGTAAACTACCCAGAGTTCTGGGTGGGATTGTGTCACACTACCGTAGTTTCACTGCTCTGGCACTCAAGCTAGGTGTCTACTCGAGCTGCAATCATACCCTGTTACTGCAGACTAGACAGACCCAACCGTGGAAGAACTGCAAAATTCCACCCTGAGTCAGGTAATGGTGAAGGGCTGAACACCTGCACTCAGAGATCGGAAAGGGCCCAGAGGTGCAGCTAGCCCCTTAACCATGACAATACCCAACCCTGAAGAGTTACCCCCAAATTACCTCCATGTTACTGGTTTGCTTCACGAATTCCTGATGCCTTTCAGAGCCAGTATTCTCAATTGCACCACCGAACACCTGAAAATACAAAATGAGAGAGATGACTGTGAAATCCCTGTCAAAATGCCGAATAAATGTGCTTGAATAAACACAACAATCACTAAGCACAACATTCATCCTTACTAGGGGGCCAAAAGAACTGTCCAACACTTACATCTCACTTAAACGCTATTTTGAGGGCTTAAAGTGGTGATCTGGCTTTGTGCTAGCTCCTCTACACTGGACTGAATGTTATACAAAGTCAGAACACACTTTGCATTATAGAGAAGAGAGGTCAAGGATGGAATGGGTCATGGAGACGTTGCTCCTCATGACAAGCCCAGCTTTTGGCAGCTGTCACGGAACACTCAGTGGGTTCACTTTCCACTTGTGCCTGTAGTTACAGGTGCAAAAGCCCAGTTTAGGGATGCAAAACCTTTGAAAACATACTAGCTCATTGCACGTAGTTCCGTTTTAAATGACTTGGGGTTTGAATCTGAAGTTGGCCAGCAAATCCATCCCAAATCAGCAGTAACTGAAAGCTTTTACCATCTCATGCTGTTCTAATTACAAAACAGTTGGTGGTCTCAGTTCAGTTCCTGCTGGACAGCTATCTACGTCACAAAATCACAACCACAGCTGGTACTAAGTAGTGGAGTTGGCCATATAGCAGAAGAAATCATTAATAAAATAAATCATTTAATGGAAATAGAAATAGTCACTAAATAATGCATTCAGCCAATGTGATTCAACCATATCTATTGACTATCCTTATTGGAAGATTCAACTGAAGGACAAAGGATTGAGGGACAGATCCAAGGCCCATGGAAATCAATGGGAATCTTTCCACTAGCTGCAGTGATTTTGGGAGCATGCCCTGAATGAACAAGGCCAATTTCTCCTCTGACACAAAAAAGGGGTGGCCCCTCCAAGATGAAGGTGAGGCTCATGTGGGGAAGTCTGCAGTACTAACACCTCTGATGCACCTGTTCTATTATCCAAGAGTGAAGTCCTGGCACCACTGAAATCAATGGCAAAGGCGGGTCCCATCGATTTCAATGGAATCAGAAATTCACACCAAGCCTATCCAATCCGGCACTTTTAAACAGTTTAACTCACTTTTCTTATTTAAAAAGAGAAAAGTAGTTGTGTCAAGATACTGCTTTTAGAAAATGTTCCTCAACGAGAAAAAAAAAAATCTATGAAAATGCAGTGCAATAGGGTAAAAAGACTTTTCTCTGAGTTGTACTTACCTGAGCATTTAACAAATATTTGGTACCCAGAGACCAATCATACATCCCTAGGCAGTTTATAAGAACCATAATTTTTAATGGTTTCTCCATGATATCTTCCAGTTTTAGAAACTCATATTCAAAGAGCCTTTTACAGCGCAGGAATGTCAGCTCACGATACTTCTCGAGGGTCACCTCTTCTCCGGGGTAACGAGCAAAGACAGGATCATTTTCAAAAGCAGAGAAGATTCTATTCTTGAGGGGAGAAGTTGGCAATAGAAATTTATTACCAAAAAGTTGGAAGAAGTTAAGTATTAAAGAATCAAGTTAATTTTCCTCCCTGGCTGAATTAGGCTTTCTAGCACAGCAGCTGTTTGTTCAGCCAAAATAAAGAAAGAAATATCCAACTAAAATTAAAAAACACAAAAGGCTGAATTAAAACATCTGATGTATGCAAGACAAAAATATATTAAAATGTGATTTTACAGATAATGTGAGTGCCAGATGTATCTTTCAAAGTGAGGCAGCCACACACTTAGCCCTGCTTGAGACAGAAGCTCCTGTAAATTGCCATTCCTTAAAATTAAATCTCCACAGTACTGGATGAGTCAACATATCCCAGGAACAGTGTTAGGCCATTGTTGCCTCACATGGTTGCATTTTAGCTGCATTATTATTTGATTATTGGCAGGAGTCTAATATTGTTTTAGTGCTAGTCCCCCTTTGAGCATCAGTGTAGAGCTCTGAGGGTCATATTCAGGCTCTTTGTTAACTAGCAGTGGCTGTGTAATGCCATTTCAGCCATTATGTGGCCACCTACGATTGCTCTCTTCCCAGAAGGAAGCAGTTGCATAGTCCATCTAGTCCAACTGCCAACTATCACCATCAGGGCTGAGTCCTAGGAGGCAGGCTATGCACCTTCTAATGGTCTAACTTGGAGCAGTTCCCTCCCTGGCTGACTGACTGAATGTTAATCTGCCCAGGACAATTTTTTTGTATCTGTGAAGATGTCTGTGTCTTCTTAGGCAAACAGCTTCATTCATATACACCTCTACCCCGATATAACGCGATCCGATATAACACAAATTCGGATACAATGCGGTAAAGCAGTGCTCCGGGGGTGCGGGGCTGCGCACTCCGGTGGATCAAAGCAAGTTCGATATAACGCTGTTTCACCTGTAACGCGGTAAGATTTTTTGGCTCCCGAGGAAAGCATTATATCGAGGTAGAGGTGTAATCTAAGGAGAAACACACAGAGCTTTGGGCTGAAAATGTGCCTTTCCTTGCTCTTCAGAAGAAGGTGACCGGAGGGATGTGCAGAGAGCACTCACTCTCCCCCATGAAGACTGTTGTATTAATTTTGATGAAATAAATGGGCCCAAAGAGTTAAAGGTTTGGACCCTGAAACTGTCCAACATTAAGCTGTTTAAACAAGGTTTGGGGTTCGGTATACAGAGAGCTTTTAATGTCAAAGATCTCTGTATACCGAACCCCAAACCTTGTTTAAACAACATAAAAGAGTGGACAGGAATGGACTTTGCAGAGACTCAAGCACTGACACATAATCGTCAGGAGTGGAAACAATTGGTTGATTGCTCATCAGTGATGGTGCCCCAAAGACCAATGGGGTTATGGGAATGATGATGATGATACAGAGATCTCAGCCTGCTTAGTCCCATGACAAACACACCATGAAGTAGCCTTTTCACCTTTTATCATAACCCAGCTCATAACAATATGCGTTCTTGGCTGGCTAAGCCAGACTCTTATTAGACAGAAGGAGAAAGGAGAGGAATAGGAAAGAGAAGAAATGAAGTAGGGAAGGAAAAGGACTGCACAAGAGAAAGAGACAGTGTGTGAATCTGTCCATCAAACTGTCACGTCCCAAATGGGTGTTTGGAATTCAGCCAGAGCTAGTGGAGGTGATGATGTCATCTTAGTCCCTCTCTTGGCCCGGTCTGGTCAGGACATCTCTCAGTAAATGGCAAAGGCGCAATGGTATTACGGGGCATCCAAGGAGATAGTGGGGGTGGCAGCCATGATGGTAAAGCTTGCTGCAGCAGTTGCTGGCAGACAGCTGCTTCTTGTGCTTAATTTTCCCACCCCCTAGTGTGTTTTTTTTCTTTTAAGACCCCAAAAGGGAGTGATGGGTGCCCAGCCCTCATTATTTTGTTTACTAATTAGGCCAAATTTTTGACACATCAATTTTGGTCAGGGTGGATAAAAATCAATACTTTAAAATAAAATAAAAAACCTGGATTTTTTCATTTAAATTAAATACAGGTTTTTTTAAAAAAAATAAACCTAGTTAAAATTAAATTTGAAACTGACAATCTATGTTAAAGCCTATACTTAATATCTATTAAAATAATTTAAATTAAATACAAAAATAATATAAATTACTATGTATTTTTGCCTAGTTTTAATGAAGGTCAAACCATTGAACTGGTGGAAGTCACTTACTAAGCACCTGGAACCAGCTTTTGACAACAGTAGTCTTTTCTGCAGGTGCAGAACAAATATTTTCTTCATTACAGTTTATTCAACTAGTTCAGTTCAATTACTAGATCATTCAAATTTAAGAAACCAAAGGGAAGTTGAAAAGGCAGAAAACACTTGTTTTCCTCTTCCAATCTATGAATAAAAACTAGGTGTGAGAGGATGAGATCTACTAGTTCTAAAATATCAAAAGACATGGTGACCGGAAACAATCAGTTCAATTCACTAACTACAGATAATGCTTCCTCTGTTTCATAAATCAGCTAGTTTTAAATACAAACTATGTTTTGATTAACTTTTTATGTATTCAGCATATTAAAGCTAGCTTTATTTAATAAAAAAAATTGAAGTACTATTGTGCATTTTTAATTGAATATTCCATCCAAATAGTTTTACAAATCACAGGTTTAAAAAAAAAATCTTCTAGTAAATAAGAAATGCATCATTTACCATTTTCTAATAAATTATGTAAACACTAACAATCTGAATAAAGGTTAAGTTAAGCTTCATAATTGCTTAAATGTACATAGATATTGTGTATCCTCCCGATTAGTGAAAAGAAGCACCAAATTTAGTGTAAAGACTATATTTAGTTGCAAATCAGCATGTTTTAATGGTTAACAGCCAATGAGAATAAATCTCTCTTTAGGAAAATAACTAAAGTACAAATGCAAAACATGATTAAAATCAATGATTTAAATCAAGATTTCCTGCATGCTGATTTAAAATCATGATTAAAACCAGTCATTTAAGTCACTGATTTAAAATCAGTCCACCCTGATTTTGGTCCACTGATTTCTAGTTTCATTTTTTTGTTTACCAGGCATGATCTTAACAGTTCTTCAATTATGGTAGTAGGCCTTTTTGTTTAGACTAATTTTGTTTTGTTTTGTTTTCCCTTTGCAGTTGTCTCATTTATTGGGACATTTGATAAACTTTTAATTAGTTTTTATAGTTGAGCTTACAATTTGGGTAAATTTGTTATTACAACAGGGTTATCTGCCTATGCAGTTCTGCTACTCCCTGGTACAAAAGGGTATTTTTATCCTTTAGCTTTTCAGTAGGTCAGCCAGATGCAGAGCCAGGTATTTACGATCTCTCTGTTCTTTTAAGGTTCGTGTGTCTGAGGTCCAAAGATACTTTTGTGTAATGCTAGCAGACCAGGTGCCAGCTCAAGCCAAAGTCCCCACATCTCAAGTGAACACTGGCAAATACGTAGCTAGTATCAGTCTAGCTTGCCTGTGTGTTAGTATTGTTAAAATAGGTTCTAAGAAAGTGTTTAGACTTCATTGAATGCCTGTGATTTGATTTGCTGCATGTATTAATCTCACTTATAACATCTGTTCCCATATTGTATGGTAATGTTTGAGTGGTTGTATTGTGAGCCTCTGTGACAGTGTAACTCACCAAACAGGAGAGAGACATTAACTAGGGTGAAGTGCTGATCTTCAACAGAAGATGTTAAGTCCTGTCCAACAGGAAAGGTCTATCAGTACCAGACGGACTATTGTGGGACATTAAAGAGAACAAAAGCCATTTGTTGTTCTGCCCTCCTCCATGTGAAGATGAGTCATGCAAGTTGATTCCTCCCATCAGGGCAGCTTGCAGCTCAGGGCACACTGCAAGAGGGGATAAAAATTCCTAACAATCCCTGCTTGGACTCTGGGGATGCGGGGGAGGCAAGGGTTTTCTAGGCATAAGCAAGAGACCTCCAGATGTTTAGTCTGGGTTAGCCCTACAGGACATATACAACTTTTTTATTATAGCAGCTTCTATTATCTTTTGAAACTTAACGTTGTAAATCTTTTGTGTATATATGTTTACCTGTTTTAACCTTATAAATGGTCTTTTGTTTCCTTTTCCTATTTAATAAATATTTATTAGAGTTTACTAGAGGATTGGCTACAAGCGCTGTCTTTGGTGTGAGATCTAAAGTGCAACTGACTTGGGGTAAGTGACATGGGCGTAACCTTAATATTGCTGTGATTCTTGGTGTAAGGGATAATCTATCTCAAAAATATGATCACCGGGGGGGGGGGGGGGGGCAGGTGAGATATACATGAGAACACCCAAAGGGACTGTCTGACTCTATGTTAAGGCTTTTTATAGTGTCCTAGGAGTATCCACTTGATAACAGGTTGGTGAAATCTAAGGGCAGGTCTACAGTTAAAATGCTGCATCAGCACAGCTGCACCAATGCAACTGCACCGCTGTAGCGCTTAAGTAAAGATGCTCTTATGCCGATGGGAGAAGTTCTCCTGTCGGCGTAGTTAATCCACCTCCCTGAGATGTGATAGCTATGGTGACAGAAGAAGCTCTCCCGTCGATGCAGTACTGTCTACATGGCAGGTTAGGTCAGTATAACTATGTCAGTCAGGGGTGTATATAGTGTAGACCTGGCCAAATTATAGAACTCACAATTTAGGATTTGTGCCCTGTCTCCTAACAGTCTGCCCTGAGGTTGGTACTCCTGCTCTTGAGTCACTGCAAGCAACATTATAACTTTGATCTCGATAGGTCATTGCTTTGTTAATTGGAAATGGAGACGTTAATTTAGTGTCTGCTGTAATTTAGTATTGCTTCCCAATATTAATCATTAGTAGTGAAATAAAAACGTTATATTTGATCAGTGCAGTGAAAGAAATATTGTTTAGAAGTCAGTTCTGCTCTAAAAGAGTGACTACATAAAAATGGTAAACCACTTGAGTGCTGATAGTCCTCCAGTGCCTCCCTCCCCAACATTGGCCCATCATTTATTACTTCAGCTTATGCCCTCCCCTTTAAAAATACCCTCAGTTTCCCCAGACAACATAGCAATCATTGGGGGAAAAAAACTTACCTTGAATTGGATGAGATCTTCTTCATCTATAAACACTGCCATCTCCTTCCAGCTGAAGGAAGCCCTCTTACGGTACTCACAAAGTGGCCCCTCAGGGAAATCTGGTAGCAAGATGTCCCAAGAACTTTGGTTGCAAGTGGCTTCTTTCAGATCACTAGTCGATGCCATCTTGAAGTTAAACACTTCTGCATCCAACAAGAACATATGTCCAATGAGCTAAAGCACTGAAAATGTCTAATTTTTTTTCACAAGTACTTTTATCAGGGGATAAAAATGGGAATTGAAGAGTGTGGCATGGTGTACCTCATCCTTTAAGGCCTCAGGGCCCTACTACACCCTGCCACAAAAGAAGAGCAGCAAAGGTAGGTCCTCAGGTCTTCTTAGAGAGGCCTCATCGGAAGCAGCCAATCAGACCCCAGTAGGCTCAGTTAAAAGGAGCTGCAGGGGCTTAGCAGCTCAATTCCTGGCTGGGGCCAGAGGGGCACGGAAGGCTGCTTTGCTCTGGTCAAAGGAAGCTCGATAGGCTGCATTAGCTAAACCTGGGAGCGAAAGGATCTGAGAGCTCTAGCCCTAAAGTAATAGGCAGAGGTAAAAAGACTTGGTGCAGGAGCAACCAAGTAAAGGAAGGAGCACATGGCTTTTATTTATAGGGTCTCTGAGTTGGGACCCGGTGTAGCGGGTAAGCCCAAGTAACCCCCATCAGCTGCAGAGGAAGTAGCTTAAGCCCTGAGAAGGGGATAAGGGTCATTTAGAAGCCCAAACAAAGGGCTGGAATTTAAGGGCTCAGGGACAGGGCTGAAAGATTGTCTGTTTGGTGGACTCTTGGTTACTGCCTCTTCCCCCCCCCAAAAAAAACAAAAACAAACAGCCAAACAAAAAACCTTGAGATGAGCTGGGACAGAGATAACTGATGAGGACAAAGAGGCTCCAGGGAGAAAGCCCTGCTCTCTAACAGGGCAGGGAAGGACTTACAGTTAGCCCAGAAGGGGCTGAGAACTGAGCCTAGAAAGGGGGCTGAAGACACTAACAAGGGTGCAGCAATAGTTCTCGTTGGACCTTGTTACCCTGGAAGGGGTTCATTCATGCCTATTGACTGTGTGTGACTTGCCTGGAGAGCTGAGCCACTGAATATCTACCTAGCGAGGTTGGCTGCCCACAAGGGGCGCCTGGAGAAAAAGAAGATGGCAGCATCACACCCACCTCACAGAAGTCACTCATGAGAGGTGAGTGCACCCCATCACAAACAGTTCTTCAATCAATCCACACATAATCATTCAAAAGGGACAGGGACTGCAGACTCAACTGTTAAAACTGGCCTTCTCTTTTTCTAACTTAACTGATTTAGTACGAGTTAAATAACTGTCTCTGATCAGATATAAATGGCTTATACACTTTTATTAAAATGTGAACTGAGCAATGTGAAAAAGAAATATATAATTTATGCATACTAATAAAACTAGATAAAAGGAAAATTTAGATAAAAGGACCAGAAGAAGAAAGTGCTGTGATTTAAACATCAGTAAAAAAGATTAGTTTCGCTCCCAAATGAAACACTGTGTAATAAAATATCAAAGCATCCACACATGCAGAAAAAACAAAGCATAAAATGCAGGAGATGAAAGCATTTCTTTTCTTCCCTGTCTTGCCAGTTAATGTTCAAACGAACTATTCCAAATGGCATTTGTCGGTCAGTACACATTAAAAACAAACGTTTTATTCTTTTTGTATCACCAAAGTGACCAATGAGTGCCAGGAAGCCAAGGATCACGCTGAAGCCGAACTAGACAGAAGTGATGTTGGCAGGAAGACAGAACTTTGAGGAACTGGCAGGAGCTCTGACCTCCTCTTCCATTGAGGTCATCTGCCCTTGTGTAGTCCCATACACCTATACAAAGTGCATGTAAAAATGACTGTAAAATGCTACCAAATCAGCATGGTATCACTCTATACCTGCAGTACACAGGTATAAATGGGAAGGGAAGAATCACTGAGGTAGTAGAGAATCCGGCCTCTTGCATCCACAGGATATTTAGGGTATGTCTTCATTGCAGAGTTAACTCATGCTCTTATTTGGGTGTTGCTCCTATGGCCCCTTGCATCCACACACAAAACCGTCTCACGCAATCCAGACTAGCTGAGTAAAACTTTCACTCCAGGTAGTCACCACCCACGTTGCAGTGAGACCACAAGCTAAACCACTTGAGTGCTGATAGTCGCCCAATGCCTTCCTCCCACAATGCAATGGAAAAGTCATAGAGCATCTCCTCTTATTGCATCATAAAGAACCATGGGATATGCCCCTAGAAATCCTACCAACACATTCTGGGGGGCGCAGTACCAGTGAGGACACAGTAACTTGGATAGGGCTTTGTGGTGTGGATGTTCACATTGAAGGCAGGCTAACCTGGGTGCCGATCACCCAAGCTAACTCTGCAGTGAAGACATACCCTCTGTAAAAAACACAACCAACAAACCATCTGCGACCATTGTATCAAGACACAGTTGCTTCGAGAATAGACTAGATTAAGCCCTCCGTGGAAAGGATACCCTCGTGACAGCAGGGATGGCCACTGCATTCTAAACTTGTATTTTCAGCTACTTAAAACTTTCCCCAAAATACTGACTTTTTAGGAGGCAATGACTAAAAAGGGGCGGGGCTGCGCACTTTGGCAGATCAAAGCAAGTTCAATATAACGCGGTTTCACCTATAGTGCGGTAAGATTTTTTGGCTCCCGAGGACAGTGTTATATCAGGGTAGAGGTGTCTCTCTCGCCATGATTTTCAGGTCTTTACTGACTTCTGTTCCCCAGCTAGGAATTTCACAAATAAATCACTTCAAAGATGTTCATATTTATTATCATTTTGTAAGCAAACATGGAATTCACCCTCCCTCTGACCTTAAGCTATGCTCATAGTCCAGATATAAATTACTCACTGGAGACATTTATTGACAAAATAGAATTCAAACTCAGCTTTTGTTTAAAAGTACATTGTCTGGTCAATGCGATTGAAAGAGTTTGTTTTAAAAGGAATAATATTTATACTGCGGCATTTGGAACCCCACCCAAATATTGCAGAATCCTGCTAATACAGGCCTTCATCCTACAGCTGGATCTGTACAGGCAGAGATCTGTGCCTGTGCTGAGTACCACTGAATTTAACAGGATGCCATGGGGTGTCAAGATTTAATTGCAGGATCAGGGCCGTATAGCTCAATTATGCCCTACAGATATACCATGGGGTGCACTGTAGAATCTCTGGAAGATTGCAAAGGGAGTGTATCTATTGTTGCATCTTTTCACAGGGTGCAGCAGGACACTCTCTCCCTGCAACCCACCAGCTGGATCTTATTCTCCACCCACTAGACCTACACAGTCCTGCTGCTGCAATTGTACCCAGTGGGGGGAACAAGGGAGCAAAGGAAGGAAGTGTCACAGTCCAGATCCACTCAGATATTTAGGCACTACTGCGATCCACAAAAAGTTAATTCTGCTCAGCTTCCACCTAAACTACAAGTGCCTAAGGGACCTATAGTGTAGACAAAGCCTTATACAGCAAAAAACAAGGCCCTAAGTTTCTGCCCCAGGGAGGCAGCTGGACGTCTCTCATGCCTAAGCCCCAGCATGATTCTCAAAGCAAGTGAAGAAAGCTGTTGCCCGGCCTACCTTGCCTGCAGGGCCTTATCCAATAGGCATCCTTTGAGCATGCCTACCTGCACACACAATGGCTGAGGGGACAAAAGAGGGCCACCTTCCTTATAAACTTTAGTCCAGTTGTTAGGGTAGTCCCCTGGGATGGTGGGGGAGATCCCAGTTCAGTTCCTCCTCTCCCTAATGGGAAGGAATTTGAACAGGGTTCCCCACCTCTCAGATAAGTGCCCTTGCAGGGTCTGGATCCATTGCTTGGCGATGCAACACCTAAGTCTCTGCTGATTTCGGCCCAAGTGCACTTTCATCCCACTGTACATCCACACAGTGAGGGGGCAGATCGTCAGCTGGTGTAGACTGTCATAGCTCCATTGAAGGGAATAGAGCTAATTATCACCAGCTGAGGATCTGCTTCAGGGACTCGACATAATCAGGTTTATATGAATCTGAATCCTTTTGGTTTGTGAGATAACTCTACCCTGATCTAAACAAACTCAGAGACCCATGGCCAACTCGTTTATTAACTTGATCTTGGATTAATTCCTTTTGGGTTAACATAAAGCAATCTTGAATTACTGTTACAATGAAAGTTTGAGTTAATCAAACTGCTGTTAGGTAAACGGTTTAAAAACAAAGGTTACCCCCCCCCCACACACACACACCAATTTTGGTCTTTGTTCTCCATCTTATGATCTCACCTTTTCTCCTCATCCACCAGCCTACAGGCTGCTGAGGATCTTGTTCTTGCAATCAGCTCTTTTATATTGTGTTTCAAATCTGAACAGGAAGGGAGGACTCTCCCAATGTAATCCCAGATATGAGTCGAAGGAGGGGGGAATTCGAGCCATGCTGACTGTGGGGAAGAGATCGATGGGAAAGGCATAAAGACCAGCTTGCAGTGGGCCATACAAATGCCAGAAATTAATCTGCATGCAAAAATGGGCAGAACCTATTGGGTGAAAATCTGAAAAGCCTGATTTCCACTAAAATAAGGCCTGTGGAGTGCCCAGTTGGTGGTGTAGACATAGGAAGTTCTCTGTTACCTCCTACTGCCACCTACTCAGGACACAGACAGCAGCTTACCAGAGGGTTGCACACTTGTTCATCTGGGCTGACATCTTGTGTTATCATGCAACTGGAGGCCTGGAGGTGGGGGGGACTGGTTGGAGTGGAGTGTGGGACCCAGCTGAGAGGGAAGGAGGCAAGGGGCCTGGCTGGGTGTATAGCCTGGCCTACATAAACAATGAAGGAGCATGTGAACCTTTGGTTTACCAATACTGGTCTCACTCTTCTCCTTTCCCACTTCTCTCTCTGCTCCATTTTTAACCCCTTAGCATCTCTTTCCCCACAACTTGATCCTCTTAGATCTAGAATGAGGCCACAGCTTTGCAATTGTGGGTAATGAGAATGTTTTGAAAGAGGAGTGGGTGGTAGAATTTCTGGGTGCCATCCTTCAGACACACAGGAGAGTTAGCAGCCCTGCATTGGTGCAGTGAAGGTGCTGAGTAGCTGGCTTTAGAAGAGAAACAGAAAGTAACAGACAATGGAAAAGAGCTTGAGCTGAAGCAGAAAAATAAACAAACAACTTTTCTGATAGTCAGGCAATAAAATAATGACAAGTCAGTGAGCTGGTAAACTGGGCAGAAAGTCAGAGCCTCAAACCAAAACATACAGGTTAGACTAATCTGAAGCCAGGAGGAAAACAAGATTAAAATCCTGCAATGAATGATGCAAGTGTGTAACTTCATTACACGGTAGCTCCATGGAACTCAATGGGACTATGCATTTGACTAAATTTATGCTCATATGTAAGCATTTGGAGAACTCGGGCCTTTTGTGTTTTTTAAAAATTCATGACTTTACATCTTGGGATTTGTGTGTGGATGTGACTGTAAACAGCTGGACCTGTTTCACTGACAGCCGCCAAGTTAAAAACTGGGTACATGGGGGAAACTCTTGTTAGCAGTGAAAATTCATAATTGCATAATAATAGCGGCTGATAAATCAACATTTGCAATGTACTGCTGAGAAATAACAATGCACAAATTCTGCAGCCCAGACACTCATGAGTGGTCAGAGTTCAGGGAATGGCATAAAGTAAAAGAACTCACTTATCAATAAAAAGAACAGGAGTACTTGTGGCACCTTAGAGACTAACAAATTTATTAGAGCATAAGCTTTCGTGGGCTACAACCCACTTCTTCATAAATTTGACAGTGTGTGACACAGTCTCTCAGCATAGTCTGAAACCTGTCACTTATCAATACCACTACAGCAGCTTGACACTCTCCTTGGGAAATTCCAAGTATAATGCACAACCATCAGAGTGAAATAATTAAAAACGGGGTACAAAAATGACCCTCAGACCAGTCTACTGTCCGACCAGGCAGAAATGCAACAACAAAGAGGGAAGAGTAAACTACACATTTAACAACCTGTCAAGGTTTTATTAGAGAACCCTTTATACATATGGATTACAACCCACGAGGGATCCTTTCAGGAGGGAATGACCATCACACTTCACAGCCTCAAGGCCACTATCTGGCCTATCTCGCTCCCCAGCTGTGGGTGAGGAGAAGGGTACCATGAATGGGGCACTGGCACCAGAAGGCTGGTACAGCGGGGAGGGGAGAGGTCGCTATGGCTCTGTATGGGGATCAGTTGCTTCTGCTGTTGCCTTTGGCTTCTCCCCTTCGCTGCCAGGCTGGCTCTGGTCTGGTGTGAACCCCCAGGACGCAGCCACCGGGAAGGGGGCAGCCAGCGGGACTCCCACCGGGGCGGAGAGTCACTCACTTACCTACAGCTGCTGCCGCTGCTGCCCCAGCCTGCTTCGCTGCAGGAACTGACGGTACAAGCCTGCGCCTCGCCCGCCTCCTCCTCTCCGCCGGAGACACGCTCACTCCGCGACTCCGGCCGGGCTCGGGCTGGGGCTGCGGGCGGCGGCGGGGCACATGGGGCTGGCGGGGGCGATCGCGCTGCGGGACAGCGCCTCGCTGCTGCCCCGGGGCTTCTGGGCCGCCGTCAGCGTCTGGCTGGAGAAACCCCAGGTGGTGAACAAGAGACTGAGCGGCTCCCGCATCGAGGCGGAGAGGAGAGTGCCTGCCCCGGCGGTGGCTGGGCACAGGGCCCGACCAGGCAGGGGGGCAGGGGCAGTGGAGGGGAGGACTGGGCAGGGGGGGAAGGGGACAGGGGCAGAGGAGGGGAGGAGAGGGGATGGGGAGAGGGGGACAGGGGCAGAGGAGGGGAGGGGGATGACTGGGGATGGGGGGAAGGGGGCAGGGGCAGAGGAGGGGAGGGGGATGACTGGGGATGGGGGGAAGGGGACAGGGACAGAAGAGGGGAGGGGAATAGCTGGGGACTGGGGGCAGGGCAGGGAGGAGGAGAGGCAAGTGACTGCTGGGGATGGAGCTATCCCTCACCCCACAATGCTGGAAGCTCTCTGGAGTGATTTCTCTGGCATGATTGCTCAGGAGGATTCTGAAATGCCAGCCTTCATTAAAGAACTTGAGAAAGAAAACCAGCCTGAGACAGATGCTCTCGGCCTCGATGTGGTCCTCAGAACTCTGTTCCCTAAAAGTCACCCTCACCATTTCTCGGTGCAGTGGAGCAAAGAAATGGTCATAAAAGGTAACTTAACAAAGGGGATGAATGACAACACAGAGTCAGAGTTGTGGAAACTAGCTGGGCTTTCATATGTGCAAATGCCAGCTGCCTCCCGGACCCATAGCAAGAGGGGATGTTAGCAAAGGAATTAAGTCACCCTGGAAATTCCTGTGATGGTACCAAGGTCAACAGTAGCCGGTACTTTGTAGTGAAAGTTATTTCCCACAGGTGCTAGCGGAGTGTGTCTGACTGTTTTGTCTTTAAACATATAAGTAAAATACTTCAGACACTTACCTTTTTGGGGGGAGGGCAGTAGGAGACTTTGACTTTGAAATGTGAACATCAACCTTTTAGATAAGTGGGCTGAGGGGTTGCCTAGTTTCATTGCAATGACACTGTTTTGCCTTTCCAGTGCGCCTTCCCAATGTTAATTATCTTTCCTCATAATCTCACAATTCTTATGGGAGTGGATAAGGTAGCACCTACAATAAGAATACCTCCGATATCTTCCATTGAAATACTACTTTCAAAATATTGACCAGCAATAGGCCTTTGTGAATCAAACGAATACATCCTTCAACCTACAGAAGTATAGTAAAGCACTATGTAAGTGCTAAGGATGGGACTTTCAAAAACACTTAACAGAGGCAGGCACCCAATTCACATGGAAAGTCAATAGGAGATTTTGAAAATTCCACCCTAAATATTTATTATTCAGTTTGGTATGTTTATTACCATGATATTGGATCCAAGTGCTTTTTTAAAGGACACCAACAGCCGCAAACTAGAATCCACCCTTATAAAATACCATATTTTTTCAGCTGCTCTTCTAATCTTGAAAAACCTATTATCACCCAAAATGAAGCACTGAGAAAATTCCAGCTTCTACTAGATTTCTTCACAGCCTCATGCTTTTATACTATTGCTAAATTTAGCTTGTCTGTTCCATTCTTGTGAACAAGGAGGATATTGAAATAATGCTTATCTATTTTAAGAAGACAGTAGAAGTATGGTGGGGGGGGACTAATTGGAGCTCCTACAGAAATAGGCCAAACAAAAACACAGCTGGCAGTGTAGGTGTAATTGTAGATTTACAAAGCTTGACAATAGCCTTTGAAAGTACAGAACTTAAAAAGAGCATCTGCAGCAGTAGAATCTGACGTGGCTTGTAAGATTTTCAAAGCAACTTGGGTCTCTCTGTCTCTTTCAAACTATCCGTGTTGTTTAATAATCGTGGCATTTAGGGTTGCCAATCCTCCAGGATTGTCCAGGAGTCTCCAGGAATTAAAGATTAATCTTTAAAGATTGTCATATGATGAAACCTCCAGAAATACGTCCAACCAAAATTGGCAACCCTACCTGGCATGGAATTTTAAGCTTTCCTGAACAGACGCGTATAGTAATATGTTCTATTCACAGACAATCTTACTTTTTATGACCCTAATCCTGCAGTGGATCCATTCAGAGTGGATCTTTACACCTGTGTGAATCCCATTGAAAAAATATACAGGGTGTGGATTGAATTCTATTACTGGTCCTTGGGAAGGAACCTAAATCCAAAAGCGAGTAAAGTAACTGATCTAAGGCACCAACACTGATAGCTACCTTGAAATACTCAAATGTCTTGGAATTCTTACTCAATACCTTTTCTGAAACCATTTACAGTGTGTATTGTACTTCTGAATAATTTTTTGAGAATGGAAAGAAAAATCACTTATCTCGTGTATTTATTAGTTAACAGCCCTGTGTCTGTTTTAAAACTCCCCCCAGGGGATTCCACCCATATGGAATAGCTTGGTAGACATGTTACAAAAAAATAAAATGATTTTGGAACATTCAGGTTAGAATGGGCTTATATAGCCTCACATCAGACACGGAACTGGATAAAGATAGTTTAAGTTTATTAAGGTCATTCTTACCAAATCCAGTGCTGTACAAAAGTGCAATGCTATCTAAATGTGTCCACACTAGTCACACCCTCTTCCTGATCCTCATTCCTTGCTCGCACAGAACTGCTGTTGAAATCAGTGGGAATTTTGATTGCCTAAGGAATGTAAGCGTAGGTCCTGACTGCCTATTTGGTGCCCTGTGACTGTGTTGTTGTGTTGGAATGCATGCTTTGATGAAAATAAATAGAAAAGGACAAACAAACTGACTTATTTTGTATTTCTGCCATCTGAAGGGTATTGGCGAAATTAAACTGCAAAATGTTTGCTATCGGATACTCTTGTGGTTACCTTTTATAAATTAATAATGCCAATGTAGACCAATAACAGCAGTTATAATTCTTTTATAGCAATGCCATATGGAACATATTAAGCAATTTAGGGTTATTTTATAGGAGGCCATATGGATCTATTGAAGATGTGGGAGGTAAAATCAATAGCATGTGAGGACTAGTTTATATCATGCTATTTATGGTCTGCTTCCCTCCTCTTTGTTTTTCCTTGATAGGAAGTTTAAATGAAATACTGTTTTAAGTTCTGTAGGAGTTAACCATGGTATGCACACGATTCATTTTAGAAAATGAGACTTGATAGCTAGATGCTGCAGGCATTTCAGGGCCTGATCCGTAGCTGGTGTAAGTCAGCATAGCTCCATTGACTCTGTTTTGGGACCGTATTCTAACTGACATCAAGATTATAAATGTCATTGGACCAGTAAGATGGTGGTTGGATTTTATTCAGTTTCCTTTTGATTTAGAAAATAACACTAAGGAACTTGTTTTCTGCTAGCCGAAGTCATCCAGAAGTGTCGTCTGGCTATTTGTGTGCTGTCTGCTTGTACTCAGAAGGTTGTGTTAAGCGCAAGGAGTGAGGTTTAAGAACACTAGGACATGCCATTTGACTACAAAAAAGGGAAATTAATTAAAGCTAGCCTTGTACAGTATATGTTAACAAGATTTCAATCAACGGCCAGATTATTTGACATCTCCCATTCTTGCATTAACAAGGAAAAATGGTGTGTGAAAGTTTTGTCCAGCGTCGCCCACAAAAAGTACAGTTTGGGAGCTGTGCGGTTATGCTTCCTCAGTGCTGTGTGTGTAATTAAGTGTCCAAGTGCTGCATTGTGCCTTTCAGAGCTTTTTTTGGACACTGAGCTGAGTACTTATCTATCCCAAGTACAGCTGCTGCCGCTGATTCATTTTACTGGTGAGGTTTTGACTACCTACCTTGCAAAGAATCCCAAAGATCGCTGCTTGCAGTTAAACACAAGGAGGCAGTTGTGATTGCTACAGATGCAGAATACAGCAGCCCATCATACTGCACTTCGTCAGAAGGAAGTTATCTTTTGAGTGAAAGAAGAAATGCTAACTTACCAAAAACCAAACAAGGCTCCTGCACCTGAAATGTATGACTGGTGCTGTTGGGGATGGTATTCGAGGGGAAGATGGGAATAGCTGGCTTTTACATTAATGTTTTATGATCACAAAAAACAAACAACAAGTTATATATAAAATTATATGTGATATCTATCCTTCCGCCCCCATTTAATGCCTTCAGACACTTGGCACATACATAAGTTTTTGCTCATGTGGGTACTCAATAAGAGTATTGGAGCCAATAGGACTGGTCAGATGTCAGTATTTGTAAGATCAGGGCATTAGGTCAGAGGCTAAAAAGTAGATTGAAATGAGAGGGGAGAGCTCTCACTGCTCTAACCGGGGGGAGCGGGAGTGTGGGGGAACATTGCTCACTGAAGTTGGGGAGAAGAGAGAGTACTCCTCTCTGATTTTGGTCCTTCCCTCTTACTTTAACCCTTGCCTTGCTCCACAGTTCTGCAAACACAACTTCAGCTGAAACCCTGCACAAGGCCAGCTCGGAGATCGAACGGGTTCCCTTTGGGGCAGGGCCTTGTCTTTATGTGTTTGTATAGCACCTAGCCCAATTGGGGGATCTGGATATTACTACAGTTGAAATATAATAGTAGTATTTTTTCTAGTTTTGAACAGGTTAGTTCACAAAATTGTTGATAGGTATCTTCCTGCTCTTTTGCATTACAACAGCTATGTACCGCCCTGGGTAGTTGTATCTCCGTTAATTTGGAATTTACTTTCCAGGCTTCCAATTTTAAAGAGACAGTGAGTAGCGATGTTATGGTGGTACATGACTTTCAGTAATAGATATCTGGCCACATATTTATTACACCACATGGTCCCTTAGAAATCAACGAACATGTTTTAGAGTTAAGCACACATGTAAGTCTCTGCAGGGTCAGGGCCT